GGAAAAGAGCGGTGTTAGAGAAGTGGCGACCAACGCGACGCCGACAAATACACGAAAAATAGCGAGCCGCGTAAAGCGAAAAAGTGCAAATGTGACAATCAGCGGAGGCAAACTCCATCGCACTCCAACACACCAGGTACGAAGCCAGCATTGAAGCAAAACGCTATTCACCGCAAGATTCAACAGAGCAGCCGGAACTTCTGCCACCCACCGGACGTCGTCTCCCAGTAGCCGCAACACCACTCCGCACGCAAATTGGGGACAGGACTTCAACCGGCCGCTGCACTACGAGTATAACAACCCAGGTTAGTTTACAATGTCGACCCGCGCGCTAAGGAGTCGAAACATAGACTTTGAGAAGGACCACACACAATTCAGTGAAAGTGAAGTAGGTTGCTCGTACAGAGAACAGGAACAGTTTGAATTCCCAAGTATGGAAAACCTTAGTGTGGGTCATGAACATGATGCTAGTGAAATCCATTTGTCTAAGACCGGCCGAATCCAGACTCCAGCAGATAGGCACGGGGAGAAAGACATTTGTAGCGAGGGTGATCTTAGCACTGTGACAGTAGCGGAGCATGTTAGTATAGTCAATGCAAACACACAGCTACAAGAAATATTAGCTAGCGTACTACAGAGTGTTAAACAGACTGTTAAAGAAGCTAACGAGAAATTACGGAGGGATATAGAGAGAAGTGTCAAAGACGAAATAAGTAAATTGAGAGAAGTAGTTCGCTTAGAGAATAAGAGATTGAAGGAGAAATTCGAAAGGGAAAACATTAGTTTCAGTAAATGCCTTGATGATAAATTGCAACATGAATCTGCTAAGATGGGAAAATTGGTGCAGCAGGTTACGGAAGACAGTGAAAAAGAGCTTGTAGCTGTAAAGAAAAATGTTCAGGCAGTATCCAAAGAATTACATAATAAGATAGAATCACACGTGCTAAAGACAACGGAGCTGACTAGTGAGTTAGGTAAGGAAATGATCCTGCATAAGGAATTTGCTGATAAGGAAGTCAGTGAGATGAAAGAGATAATCAAATTAGTGCAAACTGAAAGGATTAACAATGCGCAAACTTGGCAGAAAGAAACCGAAGAAGGTCCAAAATTTAAATGTACAGTTGAACAAATTGGAGTCCAGGAATGAAGGTCATTTCAGTCAATTAAATAGCGAAGTAAATGCTATTAAGTTACAATTATTTGGTTGTACAACGGTTGGGTGTAGTCCCACCTCGTTTCCTCCAAATGAAAATGCTAGTATAGATCCTGGCCAATCTTCTTCTGAGTCTGCGCACGTCAATTCTAATACCGCAACTGAAAATGTAAGGATCACTCACGGAGTACCGTGTAATTGTAATGAG